CCACAACTTGTGCAATATTGTCTTTCGTGTACACCATGGATGAATGATACGCGCCATGCAGGCTGTCACACAAATACATATAAATTACGCTTAGATTATAAAATGTATTTATATTAAAAACATGTACTTTAAAAACTTCTAAATTAATTACGAATTATTCAAAGCAGTACATTCAGAATGCTACCAATGACTAACCTAAGGTCAGGAAACTTCTCGCTCTGGTATGGGAAGCTCTGGTCGTCGACGATGTGCCAGTGGAGGACGTTCATCTTGTTGATGGCCATCGCGTCGAGCGTGAGCAGGATGTTGGCCACCGAGATGTAGTGCCGGCCCGTGTCCAGTAGCAGCCCGCGGTGCGCGTACTCCGGGAAGTCCACCACTATGGATGTATTTATCCGCAGCTCCTAACATGGATACAATAAGAAAAGTCTGCACCTTGGTGTAGTCAGAAAAGAACTTACTGTTGCATTAACACCGTTAAAAGAGCGTTAAAAATGAAATTCTAATTAGTTAAATAAATTTATTTAAATATCAATAAAAATCAACGTTTAAAAATGACGTTAACACAGCACATCACTAGTTACTACAGTTCAAGTGATGTGCCTAGGTCAGAAAAATAAAAAATACCGGTTTTGGTTTTACATTCATAACATTGGAGAAGTAGAACTTCTGCGCGAATGTCTCGAGGCCGCGGAGGATGCCCCACACGGAGGAGCTCACCAGCACTGACACTTCTGACACCGTAAGAGTGTCTGTAAGCAGACCAATAATTTGCAATGTCAGCGGTAAATTTAATAGCAACTAATATTTACATTCCTTATTTTGATAATACTAATACATATTGGAATTGATTTTTGAGTATACAATTAAAAGTGACTGTGACGACTACTACTTGAAAGTTAACATTATAACAAAAGTAGTACTTTCGTGAGACTTCGGACAAACATCGTTTCGGACTAGTTGAGGAAGACAAATATCGTTTTGGACTACTTTTCAAAATGCGTTCAGAAGTTTAGGCTTCGAGACACATTAATTAATGTGTATATCACGTCAGTTGGATAAAAATGTTAACTTACATCTTTCGTTCATTTCTAGATACGGATAGTGTTCACATGGTTCTGTCAGTTGCAATTGTAGCTCCCGCAAGATGCCAATGTCTAGGGTCTGGAACTCCTCTGCGTGTCGCCGTCTCTCACTCCTTGAGACCGGCGTCGGGTTTCGCTGCGGTGCTCTGCTCTTCACGATGTACGAGTATCTTTCGATTGCCGAAGTAAGTATATCGCAGGTGTTATTCGTCACCTAAATTATTAGATTTTGAATAAAATTTTTGATAAATTGAAATAATTGGAAATTGATTAATTGATCTAGGTTAACAATTATTTCTATAGTTGGTAATCATTTTTAAAACAATATAGTAAACTAGATAAAATTAATATTATTAACAAAGTAAGTTCTGCAGTGAACACTTTAAATAAATAACTAGTTTTAATAGGTAAAAACAACTTTTTTACTTACTGTAATTTTAAATTTAGTCGGATCAAAGGTAAAGAAAGTAAGTTCCGTAATTTCGTTTTGAGGTTTCGGCCAAACCTCTCCTTTAGTCGCTGAATATTTGGGTCCGGTATTAATAGTGAATATGGAGTAAACACTTACAGAAGATAATATCAGAAATATTAAAAAACCAATCATTTTGATGACACAAATGGTAAGGTAAAAATTGCAACGGTTCTTTTGTCACCAACGGCAGCGATCGATATACTAGTGAGACTGTTTTGGCTGCGGATGTTTAATTAGTTTGAATACAACACTAGCGGGGCATTGGTGAGTTGTAAACAAAAAAAGAAACAAAACAAAAGAACTGCTGATAACATCGATAAACCGTTCCGCCGTCCCTTGCTATACTGATTTTATAGTACAATGTACTTAACTAACTATACGAATACTGAGTACGAAACTGAATATTACGCGTTCGTGAAAAACGCGATTCGGAGACGGGAGTGTTGACTGACTCTGACGCTTGCAACAGTGCTAATCGAGAGGTAAAATAGTTGCATAATGGTAAGAATCCTATTTTTTTTGTGTTGTGTAAATAAAAATCAGAAAAGTTTTAATTAAAATTATAATGTTTTAAAATATTGAATAGTAGGAAGCCCTCTCACAAGACCTTCGAAAGGTGGCGGGAGTGCACAGGATGCGGGTAGCACAGGATCCGGCATTGTAGCAATCGAAGGAGAAGGCTTACGTTCTACATTGGACTATGCGTATGCAGACAACATATGTCAGTCGCGCACGGTACATCTAACAATATCAACCTTAGGATGTTATATGGGAGGGTTAACATGGCGATTTAATTTCTAAGTTAAACAAGTTTAAAATGGTCATTCAGACCAACGGCTGGCGGCTAATG